ACAGATCTGTGTCAGGCTGATACTGAGGAGACTTTTACCTCCTATCCTGCTGTTTGAAATGAACAGACAGGTAGTTCGTATTACTTGGTAGAGAGGACATGACAAAGCACCTAGTAGGTACTCCTCGCCACCCTTCTGATTGTCCTATTGTGATTAGGCAGACATCAGAACCTGACTCTTTAATCACTCAGTTAAAATGACTGAGTGGGTATTGAGCCCTTCTTCATTTGCAAGACCGAGCTGGTGGAGCAGATGTTGAAGCTTACCTGATTAAAGTGAAGCCTTACTAGAGCACCTGGAAGGTGTCCCTTACCACCTCTCTTTACTTTGGAAGTCCTACAAAAGACTAAGCAGACTTCCCTTTCGTGATTCATGAGCTTCTTGCTGAGGTCAGGCAGAAGTAGTGGCCACCCCAATCCAATGTTCCGAAAGGAGCAAGAGAGGCAGGATCCTTTTCACCTTCTACCCTGTCGCCCAGATTCAGCCAGACAGATGGTTGGTTTTACTTACCCATTGAGTGAGCCCGATAGTATACCTGGGAGGCACTATTCCTTAACACCCTTTTTACCCCGGATATCCTGTAAAAGACTAAGCAGGCTTCCATTTTGTGGTTCATGAGCTTCTTGTTGAGGTCAGGCAGAAGTAGTGCCAGCCCCAATCCATTGTTCTGAAAGGAGCAGGAGGGGCGGGATCTTTTTCACCTTCTACCTTGTCACCCAGATATGGCAAGACAGGTGGTTAGTTTTACTTACCCGTTGAGTGAGCCCGATAGAGTCCCTAGGATGTGCAATTTCTCAACACCCTTTTTACCCCGGATGCCCTGTAAAAGACTAAGCAGGCTTCCATTTCGTGGTTCCTGAACTTCTTGCTGAGGTCAGGCAGAAGTAGTGGCCACCCAATCCACTGTTCCTAAAGGAGCAGGAGGGGAGGGATCCTTTTCACCTTCTACCCTATCGCCCAAATATGGCCAGACAGGTGGTTGGTTTTACTTAGCCGTTGAGTGAGCCCGACAGTGTCCCTAGGAGGCCTTCCTCAATGCCCTTTTACTCCGGATGTCCTGTAAAAGACTACGTAGGCTTCCATTTCGTGTCTTCTTTACTTTCGCTAAGGTCATGCAGAAGTATCGAGTCACCCCAATCCACTACTCTGAGATGAGCAGGAGGGGCGGGATCTTTTCACCTTTTACCCTACTGTTTCGACACGGTCAGGCAGGTAGTTGGCTTTACTTGATAGAGAGAGCCTGATAGAGCACCTGGCAAGAAGCCCTCACTTTTTTCCTTGAGTGTCCTGTTTTGATCAAACAAGCACCAGACTTCGTGACTCCTTTATTTGCTGTCTTGAGTTGGTCAGACAAATATTGAGTCACCCCAATCCACTTGTTTTGAGATGAGCAGGAGGAGATGGGACATTTTCACATTTTATCCTTTCATTTGAAATGAACAGACTGGAAGCTGGTTTTATTTGCCTGGTAGAGAAGATCCAACAGAGCACATGTCAGGAACTCCTCGCCACCTTTTTCCCTGAGTATCTTATTCCAATTAGGCAGACACCAGACTTCGTGATTCCTTTATTTGCTGACTGGATTTGGTCAGGCAGATACTGAGTCAGCCCAATCCACTGTTCTGAGATGGACAGGAGGATACGAGACCTTTTCACCTTCTATTATGCTGATTTGATATAGTTAGACAGGTAGTCGATCTATTATTGCTACCTTACCTTAAGTTCTTCACTTGGCTCTGTCCTTGCTACAGGGCAAGGCTAGGGGAGAATCCCCCTTTACTTTTTCACCCTTGTGGTGATCTCTACCTTTTTCAGTCTTAAGTTGATCTTTACCCTTGATTCTCTCTTTGGCTCTGCCCTCACTATAGGGCAAGACTAGGGGAGAATTTCTTTACCTTTTCCACCCTAGTGGTGACCTTTACTTTTGATTCTTCTTTTCCACTGCCCTCGCTATAGGGCAAGGCTATGAGAGAATCCCCTTACCTTGTTTTCACTTTTTTTAGGTGATCTTTAACGTTGGTTCTATCCTTGGCTCTACCCTTGTCGAAGGATAAGGCCAGGAAAAGACCCTACTACTGGTTCACTATCTAAGTGATATCTTACTTGTGCACTGCTGCTTTCCACTCTCCTAGGCTCTACCCTCGTCATAGGGCAAGGCCAGGAGAATAGTCTCCTACTTTTTCCACAATCTTTCTGATTTTCTTTCAAATTCATGTTTTCCACTCTACTTTCTATGGCATAGTAGGTCAAAGCCAACACGAGCGATTCACTAGTTGTTCGCCGCTCTTGTTGGGGGTCCATTTGTTGACCTCAATTTTGCCAAATTCTTGGCCAAAGCAGTTGACTTGGTCAAATTGACCTAGTCAGACCCCATGACCCTCTTCAATGGGTTCGGTGAGTCAAACTGAGTCTGTTGAGCCTAGACCCGGGTCCTAGGCCAATCTGGTTGACCAGGTCAATGAGGGTTGACCCAAATTGACCCAAATGCTTTTTAATTGATTTCAAACCAATACCATGTCTTCAAGGCTCAACCCATTGACTCCTTTGACTGATTTGACCAAGTAAATCGTTGACTTGGTCAGACCAAGTCTTTAATAGGTTAAAATAACCTATTTAGAGCCCATTAAAACCCCATTCATTGCTCTAATCAATGCCTATTGATTCCAAATTCAAAATCCTGCCTAAATCACTTCATTTGGCCTCTTGATTGACGGTGGATCGAATCAAGGCCGCTCATAACCGCTCCAAGCCTTTTAAGTATTGATTTTAGGGTTCCAATTAAGGGATCTTGCATTCTAGCCCCCCTGAGCCCGAGAACTCTCATGTGAGAGTTCCTTGGACTTCCCCTCACCTTCCTCGACCTAATCCCGATCGAAAAAAGCCAGCTGGAGGCGAGTTCCAGTGAGACCGAGCCTACTTCCCTTCCTGGTTGATTTCTTCTTGATCGAAGAAGAGTTTGAGCTTAACGTCAACTAGAAACTTGTTCATGAGGAGTCTAGGAGTCCAACGAGCCCAAGATCTCCCGAATCCATTATGTGGATTGAGGTATATGTCAAACCCTAGCTAGAACACCTAAATCTAAACTAGAACACCTAAATCTAAATAGATTTTTATACATTAAATATTTAGTCGAGTTCTTAGTCCCCCACGAATACTCTTCACCTCTATAACCTGTGTCTAAAATTTCATGGCATTTCATTGTGTAGTTTGGGAGAACGAGGCAAAAGATGCCCTAGACCCTCAGGTTCGCCTTAGACTTGACCTGTGAGATCTGGACCGTTGATCCCGTGATCAACGGTCGAAACGACGATGCTCTGTGGTTCCGTTCGACAGCAGAGTTTGATCCCGCGGTTCATGCAGTCCAGCGTGATCTCAGCTGCCGATTCGTTTCACGCCGCATCGGACGGCTCTCCCATAGGCTGACGTGGATGAGTGATCTACGCAGTGATTGCAACAATCATTGTCTGGCGACACAATCATTGCGTCGTCGACAATAATTGGCCGCAGACCATGGATCCAATCCCGTCGCGCCAAGTGTCACGCCGAGGG